TGTGTGTGTGTTGGGGAGGGGTGAGGACTGAATATTTGCACTAGATCATAGAATCATAGAAACATTAGGGTTCGAAAAGACCACCAAGATCATCTAGTCCTACCACCACCCTATTACCAATGTCACCCACTAAACTATGTCCCTAAGCACCACGTCCAACCTTTCCTTAAATACCCCCAGAGATGGTGACTCCACCACTTCCCCGGGCAACCCGTCCCAGTGCCAGACTGCTCTTTCTGGGAAGAAATGTCTCCTCATTTCCAACCTGAACCTCTCCTGGCACAGCTTGAGGCCATTCCCTTTAGTCCCATCACTGGTTACCTGTGAGAAGTCAACCCCCAGCTCCCCACACCTTCCTTTCAGGGAGCTGGAGAGAGCAATAAGGTCTCCCCTGAGACTCCTCCAGTCCCCTCAGCCGCTCCTCACAGGGCTTGTGTTCTAGGCCCTTCACCAGCTTTGTAGCCCTTCTCTGGACATGCTCCAGGGCCTTGATGTCCTTCTTGTACCGAGGGACCCAAAGCTGAACACAGTACTTGAGGTGCAGCCTCACCAGAGCTGAGTACAGGGGGACGATCACCTCCCCGGTCCTGCTGGCTGCACTATTCCTGATCCAAGCCAGGATGCCATTGGCCTTGGCCACCTGGGCACACTGCTGGCTCATGTTCAGGCGAGCATTGATTTTGATGGGTGGGACTTGATGACTCTAACAGTTTCTCTCATCTTCTGTAACTTTAAATATTCTACATCTGCCTTATGCAGGAATACTAAAACTTACAAGTCACTGCAGCCTATCATTTTGAGGATCTTGTTCTAGTGGACAAATACTGCCTCTCCCAGCAATCCATCAACAGTCATCACAGAGCTGACAAGGATTTCTAAAATACATTCAAGAGGCCTATGAAAGGTGACCAAGAAATGCATGTTGAGGTATGTTATCTAGCAACCCACATCTGCAAAACATCTAACAGGATCCACACTTCCACTGGAAAAATTTTGAGGCCCCTAAAATGAAAAGGAGCAAAGACATAAAACTTTAAACAAAGGATAACTGTTAAAATGAGAATAAAACCAGATTCTCTTGCATTTCAATCATTTTCTCCTTAGGTCTCTGAACACCCTTCAAGGGAGTATATTCAGGAGATATACGTGACTGCAGCAAGAACAGCTTCTAGGGCTACACGCATCTGGATTTACCCAGATGTGCCCTAGAATATGTCTTCTAGAATTGTGCACATGAAAAGAAGACAACTTTGAATGCCTGAGATTTCTAAATGCCTAGAAGACCTGGGTGTGCCCATGCACAAACTTTACTATATATATGCTGGCCCAGTGACATACGCGCACTCAGTCTGAGAGTGGCTGGATGCACCGGCTGCACTGGATACACACAGATCGAATGACGAGTGTGGCACCTGCTCGGCTGGGGCAGACAAAAACCTCTCCGATGCATTGAATTTACTGTGCAGGGGCAGGTTGCCTCTGTGGCTTGTGGATGTCTTGCACTAGAGCACATCTGCTGCACTGTGAGGGTTTGAGGCAGGAAAACCTGGTCTGAAACATGAGAGTTCTCATTTGTAACATAAAATCTGTCTAATAAATACTGTAGGGAAGGAAATGCAATCATTTGGAAGTATAATTTAATATTGTTTTTGCCTTTAGAAGCCTTATAATAGCACTGTTCATTCTAGATACTTCCATTCCAGCTAAATGCAGAATCTTAACATTAAATGCCCCTGGGAGGGGATATGAAGAATGTTTAACAGAGGTATATCGCACATATAACATGGTGTGCTACGCTATAGCATGACAAAGGAACTCTTAACAACAGTTCACCATCCTGTGGCCATGGAGTAACTCAGTCGTTACAATTCAGAGAAACATCTTCTCTGTCTATTAAAAAGAGATATTTTTCATTGATTTTTGCATATGTACTGCTAGTTCTTACTCAAGATGCCCACTAGATCAAGAGACTACATGTCATGTCCTGGATCTTGGGATACTCCAGCCCTCACACGTGCTGATTACGGCTATACAGGGGCAAGCAGTTACAAAACGTATTTGCTGGGAAACAAATATAACACAAACTAAGGTTTTTTTACAGTAATTTAGTTTATATTTGTTCTGTTCACACTCACTATTTAAGCTAATTATGTCCTTCTACCTGCAGACTGTAGCATGAGGGTAACAAAGGAAGTGTTTTCTAATGTTACAAACTCCCCAAGTACTCTTCTTCATGTGAAATAAGCTGTCCCATGAGCTCTGATGCCTAAAACACTTAGAAACACTGGGATCATCTCAAATGCACTAGAGTTACAGAGGCTACTCTCACCCCAGCATCCAGTCCAATGAAAAATGCAGAAGACTGCAATTGCCAACACTCTCTGCCCTCTCTAATTACTGTCCTGAACAGCAAAGGTCAGCACATTACACCTGATCAGCCTGGGAGGTTAGGACCTTGCCTGTGGGCTGGAAAGAAGGAAGGTTTCCAGCCAACCTGAAAGAGATGGGGTAGCATCAGTTGACCTCAGAGTACTTTGCAGAGAAAGCAATCCCATTAAATGAGAATGCAGAAAGGTGTCGAGAGCCTGGGAAAACAGATCTGTGCTCCAGCAAGGTGTTTGGCCTTCCCCTCGGAGTGGGGCTTCATCTCACAACCCACCACTGCCCGTGGCATATCAGAGACCTGAGCTACCCCACCCAGCCTGCATGGCGACCACTATAGGGCAGAGCTGTGCACCCCTCTTCAAACACAATAATGTGGCACCCCGTCCTGCTCAGCTTTGTGAGCTGCCTCCCAAAGGTGCCATGCTGGCCACCAGCCCCCAGGGGTACCAAGGCATGGCAGGCCCACCAGCAGGCTGTGAGCATGCCTGATGCTGGAAGGAGAAACCAGGAGGTCTATGCAACACAGCTGCCACCCCTCTTATGTACATTGTTCTGTCTCTTCCCCGTTCCAAAGGGTGTGTGGCACTGAACGGTGAGCAGAGAGGAACAAGTGCACCAAGGGCAGGGCTGTGGTTACTCCAACACGACGCGCAGCCCTTGTTGGCCTGGATGGGATTGGTCTCGCAGGCTACGTGCTTGCAGCCAGCTCCTCAGGCACCACACGCTTTTAAGTCAACAAAAACAGTGTGAAAATGAATCAAAGTATTTCAGCGCTTTCTTACAGCTGCCTGTCTCCCCTGACTCACTTGGTTTGGCAACCCGGCTGAGAGCAGAGTCTCCAGCATTTGGGCAAGTGTGCCGTGCTGCTGCTGTGCAAAGATCACAGGAACAGCCTGGGTTTTTCTCAGCTTCTGCTGTGAAGAGCAGCACTGGTATTCTCCGCTACCAGCCAGGCCCATCGGATCCAACAGGATCCACATTAGGAGGTGGAGGCCAAGCTACCAGTCCTTTCTGGAAGGACTGTTCTGGTGGTGCCTAGGAGCCCCCTCTGTCCTGGAAGGAGAGGCTTTGGGACAAGGCTGGCTGTTCACACAACCACCACGCACGTTAACACAGTCCATCTTCCTCCTTGCTTACCCGCTCCACAGAAAAAAAAGGAGGAAACAGTGACAAATTCGGTACTGCTAGCCATACCCTCAAGCTTCTGGCGAGACACCAGCCCATGAGGAACTGCATTCCCAGAGGTAGCTTTTAAGATAGAAGTGGTGTTGCATAAATACATCCTCCCTGGAAAGAGGGAGCACTAACGCTCTCCTGCCCTGTGCTGCCTCCTCACTAGCACTCTTCTCACCAGAGAGCTGGTGTTGCTGCCAGTCTGTGCTAACATCACCAGCACAGCACCCACAAAGCTGATCTCTGCCTCTGGTGGGACTACTCAGCACATCAGTACCTTCCCTACCATGGCCGAGCAGCAGGGGACTGGGGTTGGGATCGGAGAGGAGGTGGCAGCCACAGGGGGAAAACACAAGCAAGGAGACAATGCAGAGGAGACCAAGTGGAGAACAAGGGGTGGGATGCTGGAGGGCAGATGCAAAGTGGAGCCACGGGGTACAATTCCCTGCTCAGCACCTCCACGCTGCACTAACCCATCTGCTCCCAGGGAAATCAGCACGGGGCTGCCCGTGGTCAGAGCTGTGACAGCCGCAGGGAAGGACATGCCTCCTGGTAAGGAGATAAAAATGAGCCTCGGTCATTGGATTCTCTCTGCTTCGAGCTAGAGGGAAAGGGATGAGCAAGGGCAAAGGGAACAACCTCCAAGCTGTGTCTCTGCCTTTGCCAAGTGGACATCCCCACAATCTGTGTGAGTATCTTGCAGCTTCTTATTGAGCCATATTAACTCCCACTTTAAAAAGCCACCAGTGTTAGCGTAACACTCGCATACCACTGTTAACATCCTGCATCTGCTATTGTAGGAGACCTATTATTAGCGAGGCATTATTATTATCTGTCATTTGGACTGTAAGCTGTCTTACTGTGAGCTAGTTCATGTGGATTGCTCTGCACCAAGCTCCTATCCCCACCACTGCTACTCTTCTGTAAATTTCCACACGGAAACAGTGCTTTTGGGATAAGGATCCAAGGAGGATTTAACAAAACTCAGCAGCACTCCAGGATGTGTACAGCAGCACGGCGCAGTGTCCACCAGGACCCGTGCCCACTGCAGACAGTGAATAACTGCACTGGCAGCCCTGAGCAGCGAGAGGAGGCTGAAGTGGTGGGGAGGGAGTTTCAGCGCCCGCATCGCATGGTGCTTGACCCTCCCATGGCTCCTTTGCACAGAATTAACTTCCCCATCTCTCAGGGTTTTTCAAGCAAAGGGATCCTAACATTGCTGGGAAGGAAGGGCTGGACAGGGGGACACTGCCATCTCCAGCTCCAAGATTTTTAGGATGACTGGGTTTGGAGCTGCTGCAGCCAGACAGAGCTGGTGCCCCTGCCTGGGAAAATGCGAGGAGGAAAGCAGGGGGGGTCCCTTCCTCACCCTGATGCCTGGGCAAAGGGGAGCAGGTTTAGCAAGACAGACAGCGGTGGCTACAAAGGGGAATGTTTCTTACAGTCACTGTGCACAGCATAGGGAGGCGGCAGGCTGATGGGGGAGAGATCGTCTTCAGGCCCCTCTACCACTGAAGGGGGCCCCTCGGGAGGCATCTTACCGGTGGGCAGGGGCGAGGTGGAGACCGTGTTGAGCAGCACCACGCAGACAGCCACAACATCCCATAACTTCATCTTAGATCTCCTTCCAACACGGGCCCCTGGCAGGGAGGAGAGGTCGGGTTAGCTCCCAGCTGCTGTGCTCCCCCAGCCCTGTCCCTTCCCTGCCAGCCCTGAGACACCCAGGGGACTCAGCAGGGGCCAACAACCTGCTCGCAGCCGTGCCCCCCCAGACCCTCCTGTCCTCATCCTGTGGGATCTCCTGGTGTGGAAGCGGGGCTGTGGGGTGGCCACCAGCCCCTCTAAGCCCAGGCATGCTGCCTGGGGGCAGGCTGGCAGGTCCCAGGGGCCTGCGCCCAGGGCTGGGTGGGTGTCACCATGTCCCCATGCTGGCAGCCAGGTCACCTTGTGCTCATCATCCCCCGGCACCAGGGCACCTGTCCCAGGGCTGAGACAGGGCGGACCCGGCTGGCCTGGGGTGCAAGGCTGCGCAGCTTTGCTGTGCTACGGGCAAACTTTAATTTCCCTCCTCTCTCTGTCCCCAATCTTTTTCCTTTGCTCTTGCCTTTTAATTTTCCCTGTCCCCTTTTCTTTTTCCTCCTCACTTTCTCCCCTTTAGTTTTCCCAGTCCACTTTGCTTTCCCCTTTCCCTTTTCCTTTTTCTCCTTTCATTTTCTCTTTTCTCTTTCCTTTCTCTTTTCCTGTTCTCACTCTTTTCCTCTTCCCTTTTTCTCCTTTCCTTTTCCTTTCCCCCTTATCATCTTTCCCTTTCATTTTTTTTCATTTCCTGCTTCTTTTTTTTTTCTGTTCCTCTTCTTTACCTTTACTCTTTCTCTTCCAGTTTCCCTTTCCCCTTCCATCTCCACATTTTCTTTTTCCTTTCCTCCTTCCCTTCTTTTTTTTTTTTCTTCCCATTTCCCTTTCCTTTCATTTTCCCCTCCTCTCCATTTCCTCATCGTTCTCCTCTCCTTTCCCTTTCCCTTCTCCTTCCCCCGTCCTTTCTCCCTTTCACCCCTTTTTCCCCGCTCCCCCTGCACCCCGACACCCACCTCCCGGAGCCGGCAGCTGCCCCGGGACCGCTTCAGCCCTGCCCGGCCCCGCTGGGCGGCAGTGGAGGGGTCTCACCGGGGGGCTCCGGCCGCGGGGCTCCGACCCCTGCCCGCCGCCGGAGCCGCTGCGCGGAGCCCGTCCAGGCTCGGGCGCTGCCCTCGCACCTCGCCGGCACCGGGGCGCTCCGGGGGGGCGGCCCCGTGCCCCCCATCCCGACGAGGGTACCCCTCCCGCCCCGCCGCGACCCCCGCCTCGCCCTCACCTCCGAGCTGGTCTCGTCGGACCCGAGATGGACATCAACGCCGGGGAGCCGAGCGGCCGGACGGGCGATGCATGGGGGGCCAGGTCGGGGTCCGGCCGCCGGGACCCTCTTTTTGCGCGGTGGGGGCAGGCGTGGGGAAGGGGGGCGAGGTCGCGGGTCTGGGTGGAGGCGGAGGGGAGCCGCCAGCACAAGCGAGCCCCGGCGGCCTCCCCCGGCCGCCGCAGGTGCTGTGTCCGCGGCCGGTGCCGGGGTCTGTGCCCGCTGCGGCCCCGGGGCCGCGCTCAGCAGCGGCGGGAGCGGCCCGAGCCGCGGGGAGCGCCGCCTGGCAGCGGGAGCTGGCTCTGGGTGCTGCTCTTGGGACCCTGCCTGGAAATCTGAGAAAGACACTCCATCAACAACTGCGGGGAGTCAGATGAAGACATCAGGGCTCCTGTAACGCCAGCTGGTCCAGCACCGCGGGGAGCCGCGCACCGCTCGGACACGCACGCAACGGCGGGAAGGAGAAAAAAAAAAAAAAAAAGAAGGAAAAAAAAGAAAAAGAAAAAAAAAAGGGGAAAAAAAAAATAAGAGCAGCTGAGGAGGAGGGGAGGGGAAAAAAAATTAAAATCGCACCACCCCCCTCAGCCTGCTGGCAGAATCAGAGGCCGGCGCTGGGATTTGTAGCGCCGGTAGCAGCAGCAGCAGCAGCAGCAGCAGCAGCCAGGCTTCCTCCTGCAGAGCGGGGGTCCCGTCGCGGCGAGAGCTTAGATCCAAGCGGGGAGCGGCGGGGGGCCGGGCCGGTGCCGGGGCTCTCCCCAGCTCCCCGGGAGCCGCCGGGGCTCCGCGGGCGGGGTCGGGGGCGAGGCGAGGCGAGGCGCGGGGGGCTCCGCACCCGCGGGCGGAGGGGAGCGCGGAGCCGGACGCCGGGGCTTTGCCAGGGCGACTCTGCGCCGCAGATGGATTTATAGGGCCCTTTGGCAGTGACGCGCCCTCCGCTGATTCGCTTTCAGACCCAAACACACGCTGGCCCCCCGCACCGGACCCCGCGGAGCCTCCAAATATCTCCCGGCTGAAGTCACCGGCCCGACATACCGTGCGCTGCGCGCCCGGCGGCGCAGCCCCGCGGACACCCGCTTGGCCCCGCGGCGGCCGTGCCGGGCCGTGCCGGGCCGGGGTAACCCAACACCGAGCCTCGGCGGCTGCAGGGGCTCCGGCACGGCCCGGCACGGCCCCCCCCCGGCCCCGCCGCCGCCCCCTCCTCGCCCCCCGCCGGCCGCAGGTGCCCCGGGTGCGCTGCGCGGCCCCTGCGCGGGGGGCGGCGGCGGGGGGACGCGCGGGAGGCCGCGGCGAAAAGTGGCCGTAAACAGTCTCGGCTTACAGCCCCGCGCCCTGTATTTATGACTCACCCAGTTGTCCGGAGGTATGAGGTCCTCATGTCGCCGGTGCTATGAAATTAACGCGGCGGGCGGCTGGGGAGAGCGCAGGGATTGTGCGCCGGCCAATAAAGCGCTCCGTCTGCACCGCGCTTCTTCCTTTTTTCTTTATGATTTTTGTTGTTTGTTGTTGTTGTTTGGTTTGGGTTTTGGATTTAGCGTGCGGATATAGCTGGGATGGGGCGGCGGGACCCCGCGGGGCACCGGAGCCCAGCGACGAGGGACACCGGGGGGCACCGGGGGGACGAGCCCGGCGCCGGGCACGGCCGGGCCGGCGGCAGAGCTGTCACCGAAAGCTGCTGCCCGGCCGCGGGATCCTTCCAGCCCCCCCCTCCGCGGGGTGTGCATGTGCCTCTGGCTCCGCATTCACACGGCTGTGTGCGCGCCGGATCGCCCCTCTCTACCGGGGAAGGCAAGAGGCTCCCGGGACCCCCCGACCGGGATCGTGCTCGGCCCCACACATCCTCACACATCCCCACACACCCCACATCCCTGTCCGCCGGGGTTGCTGCGGTGGGAACGGCCACGGCGGCTGACGGGGGTCCGGCAGGGCAGGGAGGTGGGTACGAGGACCTCAGGTTCCCTTCCCTTCCCTTCCCTTCCCTTCCCTTCCCTTCCCTTCCCTTCCCTTCCCTTCCCTTCCCTTCCCTTCCCTTCCCTTCCCTTCCCTTCCCTTCCCTTCCCTTCCCTTCCCTTCCCTTCCCTTCCCTTCCTTCCCTTCCCTTCCCTTCCCTTCCCTTCCTTCCCTTCCCTTCCCTTCCCTTCCCTTCCCTTCCCTTCCCTTCCCTTCCCTTCCCTTCCCTTCCCTTCCCTTCCCTTCCCTTCCCTTCCCTTCCCTTCCCTTCCCTTCCCTTTTCTTACTTCCCCCCCACCTCCAACACAGCCCCGGACTGCTCCCCTGCCTGCCCCGGGGCCAGCTGCACAGCCCTGACCCCTTGGTTAGGAAATAGGATGAGGTCCCTGGGCATGGGCTCCAGAGCCTGTGGGCACCGGCAGGGCTTGCTGACTTTTCCTTCACCAGCGTGCAAGGTGCAGATGCCCCAGGTCTGGTGGGGATCTCAGACTGGGGGCTGTAAAGGGGATCACAGGTACCCCACTGGGTGAAATGGGTGCAAGATTCCTTCCCTGTGCCCTCTGCAGTCTGCAGTGAAGTTCTGGAGTCATATTAGGGGAAATTTGGAGAGGTCTGCTAATGTCATTTGGACGGGTTATCAGGACACATATTTCTGAAGGTGGCATCTTCTAAATTCAGATGACCAGAGGGAGAGACAAATGCAAAACCTCCCCCTGAAGCCCATCAGGCAGCATGGCTTTTCCATTGCCATGGTTGTCAGTGCATGAAGGGGGAATTTCAAAACTATCTTCTGCTACATGAGGGATTTGTGATGAAGGGGGCAGCATTCCTTGGGAACGTGCCCCCCGTTCCACAGGAACAATGCACTCACTACTTGAATAATGTCTGAATGAATTATTTTATTAAATTTAAAAATAAATCAGGCTGTTTATTTTCATAACTGTGCTGTTTGGGGTAGGATCAATTTGCACAACAGAGATGTGTCTAAGAACAGAGGAGTGAAACGCTTCCAGAATATGTGAACTCCAATTGTAAATCTGGAACAGCATTGCACATCAGCAGTCTTAACATCAGTCACCTTAACTTCTTTTCAGTACAGATAACCCAGTGGTAGACACCTGGAATAAAAGTTTATGAGTGCAGCCTCCTCACAGACAGCAATGCACTGGTGGAACATGATGGAGTGATGTGGGAAGAAATGGTACATGTGGTATCCATACAATAAAGATATGGGCATCTGATAAATGCATCTGTTTGTATATATGTGCATGCCAGGCATTACAAGAAGCAGTGGCCTGTTTGGCTCAGCAGTGCTGTGCAGGTTGTGCTCGCCCTGCCCCGAAGGTTTTTTGTGCGTGGCTGTGATGTGATGTGGGTGATGGCTGCACGTGCCACATGCTGCTGGAGCTGCACGCAAAAAGCGTCCATGCCCAAAGTTCTGGATGCACAAAAAGCTGGTCCCAGCTCCCAGCTGGAACAGAGAGGTTTTCAGGGATGGATGTGATGGATGCGTCCCCTTCTGTTAGGGGTCAGGGACTGGGAAGCACTGAATGAATGTCTTGATTACCCCAACACCCACTGAGACAGGAGTCCCGGTATTTTAACTGAGAGACCATTAGCTAAACCCTCGCTGCATGTACTGGATAAAATGAGCTCAATGTGTTATTCCTTTGTGTGGGTTTTGTCAGTGCAAAGCCACTAATTTCCTAAAAATAACATCAGGTGGCGAAGCCAAGACAGAGACTGTGTATCTGTAATACTGCAAGAGTTTATTTTTTCTTACTATTGTAAGCTGCTGAGAGCCCAGTTTTAACATGCGCATTATTTAGCTCACGTGAGTCATGGCAAAAGGAAATGTTATGCAGATGTCCTTGCTGTGCTGATAGGATGGTCTAAATAAATGGGGAGCAAACCTGCTGGCTCTTCATCACGCCAGTAATGTACCTGCTTCCCCTGCTCCGCCTCTGACAGTCCTGGGGCTTAGGAGGGTGACTGAACGCCTGGCGCACTCCTTCTTCGTGGAAACCAGCATAGTTGCTGGAAAATGTCCATAGTTCTATTAAAAGCTAACAAAAGATACAAAACCAAACCAAACCAAACCAACCAACCAACCAAAGAAAACCTCTTGAGAACTGATTATATTTTTTGCATAGAGAACATGAAGTTTTAAGCACAAGTGTTTAGGAGCTGCTTGAGATAAAAAAAAATGGTGAAGGAAAGAAGGAACTGCTGCTGTCAAAAAAAAAAAAAGGAAAAGAAAAAGAAAAATGACCCATTCAGACCTAAATAAAGTGTGTCTTTACATTGTAAAGGTTGCCTCTTTTAAAACAAGCTAAAAAGCTGCTTGACATTATGCAGTATGGTCTCATTTTTTGTTTATATGTGTCAACATGATGTATAGAACTCTTAAGATGTCAAGCGCTCCACATTGTAATTTCCAAGTTACCTTTGAAATATGAAGCATGATTTCCTAGTCATAGCATGACTGCTTGGGCAATAAGCAGTTGTTCCTTTGGTATCAGGAGAAGAAGAGGTCATTGCACTGCTGTTGAAGTGAGTTCCCCTGGAAGTCACCCCAGGAACAGGGAGATGTGCTGAGCAGATTTGGGCTGCAGCTGCCTCAACCTGCCTGATGCCGAAAGCCCTTGGTCATCCCTCGACCTGCAGGAGCTCCTGTGGGATCAGGCCATCACCATGAAAGTCAGTTTTGAGCATTTATTTCCTTTCTTTAAGGTGATTCAGGTATGTATAGAAGTAGGTGCTCTGGGGACATGGCTGGTCATCCTGCTCCATGCTGACACCCAGTGCTGGACCTGCTCCCATGGTACCTTTGTTTTGGGGACTCACTACCAGCAAGCAGTGAGACCTTCATTTAGGTAAGAATAGTGACCTAAATAGACCTTCATTTAAACAAGAAGCAGAGTGACAGCCTGGTGGCACAGACACCCTCCTGGCAGCACACGCCTCTTGGGGCCCTGAGGCTTTATCTGGATGCCCAGCCTGTGCTGCAGCCCAGACTACCTGCTGTTGCTCAAGCGACCTAGTTAAGGCTGAGGTTAATTGCTGTGCTTATGAGAGCTGCAGTGAGTGGTGCCAGGGCCTGTTCTTTAGCCTGAGGGCCAAGTGCAGCCGTTTGACCACATCCGTCCGGATCCCACCCGGAGAGGGGCTCCCGGTGGATGCCTGCAGCCACCCAGGGATAGGACTGCTGGCACAGCACAGGCTCCAGCATGCCAGTGGCCGCTCTCCCAGCCTGATAGCATCGGTGGCTGGGCCTGGCAGCATCCCTCGTTGGTGTTTATTTGCGCGGGATAGGTGCAGCTGGCGTGCCTCCACCTGCTTCGTGCAAAGGAAACCGGCTCTGAGCAGCAGCTCTTCTTTTGCTGGGGTGCAAGGAGGAGAGAAGACATCCTGTGTCTGAAATTGGTCTGAGATGTGGCAAAGCAGGCTTAAAGCAACCTTAAATTTTATTATCTTTGCTAGGTATTTGCAGAACTTTATTGAAAATACCTGCTTGCAGAGTTTAGCTTCTCTTTTCATAAAGAAGGTTCAACATTTATTACTGGGATAGGAAACACTCTAGATAAATTGTGTTCCACTATCCCAAGTGAGGATACTTTGGGCAGTGTCCTGTGCTCAAATTACTGCCTTCCCTCCCTTCCCCCAAAAGTTCAGGTTCTTTTGTCCTTTAGGGGGAATTTTTTAGGGAGACACTAACAAATCAAGCAAAGTTTTTGTGCTAAAGCCCTTCGTGCAGTAGTTGCATGGCAGAAGGCTACTCCACAGAGTAAGGGGATCAAAGGTTCAGGGCCCACTGTTGCTGCGTACTTCAAAGATGTGTCTGATAACAGAGTGTATAAAACTTGCTAATTAAATGTAATTGTAAACAGCTGTCACATGCTGCTACTGTTTTAATTGGCATTCATCACAGCTGCATCTGTACTGTGCTCCCACTGGGATCCTAGTGCATTTGCTGTAATCTCAGAATGTGTCACCTTCTGAGAGATTAGGAGATCATAAAAGCACGAGGGCAACATATTTGTCAGGGTTGAAGGTCACTAATCTGTGCTGAAAGCAGCCAAGAAGAGTGAGCCATGCAGAGGGACAACTGGAATCAGCAGCAAGGTTTTGTAAAACGAGTGAGATTTTCCATCCAGATCCCCCCCCAAGGATTCTTTCCATATTTCTGAATTTGTATCTCAGTGCCAGAAGTCAGTGGAAGACACAACGAAGGTCATTCAGAAGTATTCATTAGCTTGTTGAACTTAACTTCTGCCAGGCCATGTTGTCAAAAAAATCATCAGATTTTACAAGATACGTAGCAGAAGCCTGACTCTTTCAGCCGAACATCCCTTCTAGCCTGTTACTAAGGATGGAAATAAGAAGCATCTCCACAGTCTGAATGACTGCAGATGCATTTGGCAGAGTTTCTGGCTGTTTGCTTATACCAGACTTGCAGCTGTAATTGCATTGTCCTTGTAAATCACTGGAATGTCAGATAGCAGTGGTTATCCCTAGCCTGGGTGGTGAGGCAGATGTTTCTGGCAGGGTGAGCAGAGAAACAGGGTAATTGAGATCCTTTACAAGAACAACCAGAATCTACATCTTCTGATCCTTGCTTAAGTGTCCTTTGTTATGTCGCAGACAATTAAATGGTGCTCCTACTCCTCCTCTCCTTCTTGTGTGAATGTGGAATTATGGCAACTTTCGTTTTAAAATAATTTATGTAAGACAGTTATAATGTGTGCAGACTGTCCACTTGCAATGCTTAAATGTGCTGGTTTACATTGAGAAAACTCTGGTATTAATGGAACTGGAAACATTTAGTTGGTCTCTGTACTTAGAAAGAGGCATTCCTGAGTATTCTTTCAGAGCAGAAGACTTATGATGT